GCTTTGCTGCCACTGCTTCCCCACCCGCCCCCTCCCGCACGCGCGCGCGCGCTCCCGCGCTGTGGGGCGGGGCCTGGAGGCGGGACCTGGGCGGGGCAGGCCGGAAGGAAACGGAAGCGTCTCGGGCCGGAGCCAACTTGCTGGAGGGAGGGGGGACTAATTCAACTGGTGGCGCGCGGAGTCGCGTCGTGGAACCTTCCGGAAGCTCTCTGCAACTAGATGACACTCAGAACTTTCTTAAATAGTGTTTCCAGCAGATCATCTAATGTACCGCTCTCCAGACACCCCAAAGTTCACTGTTGTCCCTGGCCCCCCAACCCGGCGACTGCTTTGCGACCCTCCGTGGAGCAAGGCCCACCCTCTGCACTGAGTACGTCACTTCCGCCATCGATTCTCGACGAGCAAGATGGCGGAAGATCCCGAAGCCTTGCTGCAACTCCCTCCGTCAGCGGCTGCAGCCGGCGGCGAGAATCTTTCGGAGCTCTCCCCAGAAACTGCCACCCCAGAACCCCCGTCTTCGGCCACAGTCTCCCCGGGGACGGAGGAGCCTCCCGGTGACACCAAGAAAAAAAGTAATGTCAACATCCATTTGAGTGCGGAGGCGGGAGATGTAATAGGGTTTGTAAGAGAGGCGGCCCATAAAGACGCGAAAGCTAGAAAGGGGCGCGTCCCAGAGGTGCACTTTCTCCTCTTACCGGTGTTCCCGCCTTTTGGGTGCCTAGGTGATCCGGGTGGTACTTGGAGGTAGTCAGCCTTCGAGCAGTTTGAAGCTGGGTTGCGAGTGAGATCTTGGTACTTCCGGGTAGAACAGAAGTTACTGAAATCAAAATTTAAGGTGACAGGGGCGACAAGTGGAGTACAATCCACGAATTCTGACGAGTTTCGCTATTGGCTTCCCCCAATGTGGATATGAATGAAACAATAATGGAATGAATATGGATTCTTTCTGTAGAACAAAAACCTGGAACTTTAGCTACTGTGAAGAATGCTAAGGGAGAACTCAAGGTCTAGGTGCCACCTTTTAGTTAGCTATTTATTTGGGGTGAGGGCCATGCCTTTTTTTGTGCGACATTGAATATTTCTTTAACTAGCTGTCCTCAACCTCTGTGTTGTCTTAGGAATGTGTTGCCCCTGGAAAGTAAGGAAATGGAGGTTAACTTGCCCTGAACACTGTAAAATGAGATTTGACTATAAGAAAAATCAGCAAATGTATCAATGGAAAAGGTAGACCTTGTCCTTGATTGTTCTCCTTTCAGAGACATAAAATGTAGATCCGGGTGTCTTTTCTGCTCCTTAATCTCACCAGCTTGTTTGTGCTGCACAGGAGACTTGTTTCCCAGCACTGCTCCTGGGGGAAATGCAGGTGTACGTAGCTCAGTAGTAAAACAGTACTAAAGGTCCAGGGATTCGATTCCCGGCTCATCTAGACAGGAAAAAAACAACTGACCCTGCGTTTGGAGGAAATCTGCCATGAATATATGTGCTGTACTGAGTATTTTGACAGATGACCAGTTAACTTAGAAAAAAAAAAAACCTAATGTTTTTGTCTTCCAGTTAGTTGTAGCAAGGTCACTTTTAAAGGTTTCCTTTAAGATGGAAGCACCGTGCTGAGAGGTGACATACACTTTTAATCCCAATATTAAGAATCCTTTGACTAGCAAATCTGTGTATGGTCAAAGCCAACCCCGGGCCAGAAACAAACAAAAATATCTAGCTTTCTCAGTCAAAGTTTTAGTCTTTCACAGTGATGATTGCTATACAAAAAAACAAACAAAAACTAGAAAATGACCCATAATCCAAGATACTGCCCGAGATGTCTGTGTTTGTTTGGGTCTCCATATTTCCTTTCTTTTTCTTTTCTCTCTCTCTCTCTCTCTCTCTCTCTCTCTCTCTCTGACAAATTGAATTCCTATTTTTATCCTTTTGTAGACAATTTCTTTATCAGATGTTTCACATTTCCACTGTAATTTGCCGAAGAAAGATGGCATGTTCTTGACCCTACTGGCACAGGCTTCCCGGGCCAAGCTTTTGAATACCAGTGCTAAGGTCCTACTTTGCAAAAGATTGCGATTTAATTGCTGTGTATATTAACTTCTCCGGTTGATTCTAATGTGTAGTCAGGGTTCAGAGCTACAAGCAAGTCATTTTGGGAACTAAGACTACAGCTGTAATTACTATATAATTACTATAAATTACTGTGTCTCTAGCTTCTTGCCCTCTGGCTCTTCTTTCTTCAGTAGTACATTTCAGTACTACTAATTACTGCCGAGTTATTGATTGCTCCAGGGGTCGAGGGAACTGGGGAGGAAAGTATGAAAGATAGGCTAACCCAAATCACCTTTATGCCTTCCAAACTCATCCTTATTCCCAAAATAACCAAAAGGACACTTACTATGTTCTTTTTCAGGAAGATGAGCTGCATCATATGTTCTAGGTCCTGTGTTTCATTTCAGGAGGAAATGTGATCTCCTGGAACTCATTCTGTAGACCAGGCAGGCCTCAAACTCCCAGAGATCCATTTGCCTCCACTTCCTAAGTGCTAGGATTAAAGACCTGCACCACCACACCTAGCTTCAGTAGAAAACTTGAGTAAATTGATCTCAACTTTGAATGTCAAACAAAAGCGGCAAGAGTGTGATAACAATTGGACAGTTCTGCTCTCAGGACGACTTTGGTTGTAGGTGTCTCTTAAGGGAAATAAACTTTATTAAGGAGATCAGTCTTGGTTTACATATCTGTGTGCTGTGGAATAATGTTCTTATACACTGTAAAGATTTGTTTAAAAATGCCGATTGGTCAGTAGACAGGCAGGAAGTATAGGCGACTTACGAATTCTAGGAAGATAAAAGGCAGAGACACAGAGTAAGCAAGATGAGAATGCCTTACTGAGAAAAGATATAAAGCTACGTGTCTAAACTTAGACAAGAAAACTTAAGTTGTAAGAGCTAGTTAATAATAAGCCTGAGCTGATAGTCCATTATAATTAATATAAGCCTCTGTGTGTTTCTTTGGTACTGAACAGCTGCTGGACCAAGCAGGACAGAAACTTTCACCTACATCTGTGTTTTGAATCATTGAAATATTACTGCTTTCTTTGAAACTTTTTTTGGGCCCCTGATTTTTTTTTTAAATAGTATGTAACACGAATAATAAAAACTCAGAGACAGATATTGGGGTTCAAACTAAAGATCAGAAAAGCAAAGCAGCTAGCCACTTGGCTCTTAACCTCTACCTCAAACCAAAAATGGGTGATCCTGCCACCAGAAATCTTCAGATTGAGACAGCATGAGACCTGTCTCCTCCCATTTTTATTCCTCTCTAGGGCTGAGATTAAAGGTGTGTGCCACCCCTACCTGGCCTGTATGGCTGACTAGTATGACTGCTTTGCACTGATCTTCAATCAAGCTTTATTTATGAAAATACAAATAATATACCACTATAGTAATAAGTTTTTTCATTAAAAAGTTAAGTATAGAAAATTTAGTATTTACAAAAAGCCATATGTCATAACTATGAAGTAACATTTTGATGTATACTCTCATACTCTATACTAATCTGAATGTGTGTGTGTGATTCTGAATGAAGTTGAGGTTGTATACACACAGTTTTTCTATTTTGCACATTTTCTCGGCTTCTTTTTGTTTTGTTTTGGTTTGGTTTGTTTTTCGAGACAGGGTTTCTCTGTAGCTTTGGAGCCTGTCGTGGAACTAGCCCTTGTAGACCAGGCTGGTCTTGGACTCACAGAAATCCGCCTGCCTCTGCCTCCCGAGTGCTGTGATTAAAGGCTTGCGCCACCACCGCCCTGCTTTTCTCAGCTTCTTGAACTATTACTGCTTTAAAATGTGTTCTTGAAGCCAGATGGTGGTGGCACACAATTTGGAATGTGTGTCCTTTTTCTATAAATTCTGCCATAAAGCAGCTCATATTTTATTTAATCCTACCTACACACACACACACATATATATATAGAATATGTAAATTTACTGCTTTTTTTCCTGTAAAAATAAATGTTTTGATAAAGGTGATACCTTTTATATGAATCCTTGTAAATCTCAAGCTATTTTAGATTTTCAGTAGTATATTATTGAGTCAAGGTGTATCTCCAAGTATCGGATATGTATTACCATATTGCTTTCCAGAAAGGTATGCCATGTTACAGTGGCAACAGCAGCATTACCACCCTATTGTTACCACCAATTACATAGGTGAAAAATGCATGATTTTTTTTCCCCCTTGGTTGTTTGGGTATTATTTATATCATGGGCCAGATTGACTTACTATCTTTAGAGTTCTATTGTGTCAAAAGTGGTCTCATTAGGAAGAACTTTGTAGGATTAAGGGGGGAAATAGTAGAGAAGAGTCTAATATTTTTGTATTTCTCACATAGCTCCAGAAAAGTAATTGTAGATAAAGTTTGTTTTCTGAGCGGTTTCACATCATCTTCTCATCAGATGTTTCAAAACAATTTTTTTTTTGAAGTTGACATCCTGCTGAAGGCTGTAGGAGATACCCCTATAATGAAAACAAAGAAATGGGCTGTGGAGCGAACCCGAACCATCCAAGGACTCATTGACTTCATCAAAAAGTTCCTTAAACTCGTGGCTTCGGAACAGTTGGTATGAACACAATAATGATTGTTTGACTGTAAAATTCACAGTAGTTCCTAGGCAACCCTGAGTAACACGCGTACATACAAAGCTACATATTGCTTTTGTTCTATGGACTTTTGAGCAGATTCTCTGAGATGAGGTGCAGTTAGATCCCCTTTGCTCTCGAACACGGTTGTTTTTATTGTTTACCTCTGGTGGCGGTTGACATGTACATGCAGTGGTCAGAGCAATGCTTGGGAGTGGATTCTCCGTCCACCATGTTCCTGGAAGTTATGTCAGGTCATCGGGCAAGAAGTGTGCTTACTCAGCCCAAGCCCTTGGCGGCATGTTTATCATTACTGTTGCTGCTTTCCAGTCTGTTTCGTATTTTTTAAGGCTGGCGTTTTAGTTATTTTCCTCAAAGTATCACTGAATATCCCATGCAGAAATATTTGTCATGGAACATTATATTCTCTGTATATTGGTACAGTTTGGTGTTTAAATTACTTTGATTCTGTATAACTTTTGTCCTATTGTTCTTGAGGTAAGAATGTATCTTTCACATATGGTGAGAGAACTAAGACTCATATACCTATTTCATGGTATACAATATAGTCAGCACTCCATTTAGGTTTTAGTTGTGATAAGGGTTTTGTTTCTCTGAAGAACCTCAGGTATCATGCTTCAGTTGCCATCCATCTTGTTTTTTGAAACAGTTTCATTGGCCTAAAGCTCACCAAGCAGGCTAAACTGGCTAGCCAGTAAGTCCCAGGAGTCCCCCGTCTCCCTCTCCCTGTTGCTGGGAGTATGTGAGGGATAGAACTCGGGTCTCCGTGCTTGTATATCAAGCACTTTACCAACTGACCTATCTCCACAGTTAGCAGTGGATACATTTTGAGAAATACATTATTAGACGATTTTGTTTTTGTGTGATCATCTTAGAGTATGGTTACACGAATGTGTAAGCATGTGTCATGAAGACAGGATCTTACACGACCATGATCATGAATACATGAATACTAAATCATAAACAAAAACACATAGCTGTGCTTGGCATTATATGTTATTTGGTGTGGTTTGCTCTTTTGAGTAGCCCCATGAGATACAGATACTATTATTTTCACTATTGCTCGTATACATAGAGTAGGCCATGAAATGTTATTTGTATTTAGGGCCAGGACTCTTAACTGTCTCATTCAGTACTGAAGGAAAAAACTTAACCAGTATTTATTGTTGTATAAATAATACCTGTTGACTAACTGTTCGCATTCTGTCTCTCTTTTTAAGAGGAGCGGGGGGGGGGGGGGGGAGATGCTACACCTAGAATATTTTATCCTTAGATCTTGAGATGGATGTTACCTGCCAATTTTCTTCTTTTTTCTAAAAAGAAGTTGGTCAAAAGCCTCTTTGACACTATAACCTTTTGCTTTAATATATTTAGGAATTTTTTAAGCGCTAGAAATATTTTAATTTAAAACTGATTAAAGTCTAGAACAATGAATTCTTTTTTCTCGTCCACTAAATACGAAGAATGTCCAGCTTAAAAACTCAGTAACCCAGAAATTTTTCAAAAGTAGTAAAGATCAAAAGAAAAAGAGAAAAATGTGTGTAACATACCCAAAGAAAATGCCCAATATCAAATGCATTGATTTTTAACTGCAAATGTGTAGTTAGTAGAAGAAATTTTATCTTGGCTCAGTGGGAATTATTTTTCTTCTATTGGGATAGTCTCACTGTGTAGCCTAGACTGGCCTTGAACTCATGGGTAATCCTACACTCTCACCTGCTGGGATTACAGTCAGGAGCTACTATGCCAAGTAGGCATTTTGTTAATGTGTTTTGAATATCCTTCCAAAAACTATTTGTGGAAAAATCTACTTAAAACGTATTTAACTAGGGAACTGGTTCAGTCTGTAAAGGCCTTCCACCCACAGAGATGAAGATCTAGTACCTCCATGACCTCAGGGCCCTGTGCTGGTCTGTGTGACCCTAGTGCCTGGTGGGGAGACGGGCAGACTCTGGATCTTACTGACCAGCCAGACTAGTCATTCGATGAGCTCCAGACTCGGAGAGAGGTTCTGTCTCAAGCAAGAGAGCCACCAAGGACGCCCAGTGTTGATCTCTGGCACAGATGCCATACACAGTATTTAAAAGTGTCTTAGTTACAAAAAGGATACCATTTTGAATCTATTTTTTTTTCCCCTTTAGTTTATTTATGTGAACCAATCCTTTGCCCCTTCCCCAGACCAAGAAGTTGGAACTCTATATGAGGTAAGTACCTTCCCCTCATGGGTATCGTGTCTATTGAACAGTGTGGATTATTGATTCATGTCTTTAAGAGCTAGCATGCCATCTTAACTGTCAGTGGGGGAAAAGCACTTTGTTCTCTTATATCATGAACACCTTTAACATAGTAGGATCTTTATAATTAAGCTTAAACAGTCAAAGGATAAGTTTTATTTAGAAGTAATTTTTTGCTTTCTTAGAAATTTTGTCTAATCTGTATCACTTGTTCATTGTTCATTGCCATCCGTACTTGAGATCTGACTCCAAAAACTTGATAAAACCGCACTAGAATGACCCTCTCAGCAGTGCTGTTTATGGCAACAGTCATTAGTAGGTGGACTAGCACTGCCAGGAAAGAGCTGGAAACACCTGACCAGAGATGTCATGAAGGCAATGAAAGTATTTAAGCCCATACCCAAGTTCCCTAGTTTTGTTGAATGTGTGTAATTATTAACACATTGATAGAGGTATCTTTTGGAAAATGTAGTATGTCGTAGAACTCTTTCTTAATCTAAAGAGTCCGTGTTTAATGTGTTGTCTTTTTTTTTCTGTAGTGTTTTGGCAGTGATGGTAAACTGGTCCTACATTACTGCAAATCACAGGCGTGGGGATGAGCCACCGATGAACAGCTAGATATCGTCACAGAAGAAAGAAAGGGCTCGGCTTAATGACTATCAAATACTCAGCATGAATCTGCCATGAGTTGTGCTTTTGTGTAAGAAGACATCATAAATGGACTAAAAAGCGAGATTTGCATTACCATACAATCATGAAAGACTAGTGCGCACATTACCCCCTCCCACTCCTGTTTCAGATCTGCCTCCAAGGTTAGAAAGGGGGCTAGAACTCTATTGCGGGTTCTCAGGATGACTGACGTTCCTTGTGGAGTTGGCACTGTGTTCTTTCCATGGTAAAGACTGACTGACTTACTGAAGGGTTTGTGTTTCGAGGTGGTTTTTTTAACTTATTCAGGGAACCTCTGTTTGTTTGGAATATGGAATGTTTACATTTGTCTGTATCGCTTTGTGAAACCAAGCGCACTGACTTGTCTCAGTGCCTTAAGTTATCCAGTAGAGGGCAGTCCAGTTGGCAAAATGATTTGACAGTTGTGACATCTTTGCCAGGTGATTGGAGGAATGACTGTTGAACCTAGTTTCTAGTTAATGTGTAATCAGGAAAGCAACTATGTTGACAGACTGGAAGAATTGGAGGATGTGCATAGTTTAAAATTAATCATGCTGGGAAACAATTGTACGGATTGTGAGCAAATGAGTCCTCAACGCTTTTCAGTCCTGCCATTTATGATGCTTGTGCTTCAGCCTGGGCATTGAGATCACACTTGTAATTCTAGCACTCAGGAAGCCTGGGCAGGAGGAGGGGCAGGAGTTCAAAGCCAGTCTGGGCTGCAAAGAATTTATTCCAAACAGACTCCTGACCCCCACCCAGTGTATTCCTAGTGTCAGTTATCTGTGTCAAAGCCATTGACTTACTAAACCCAGCAACATCATCAAGCTTTTGATTCATCCCAGCCCTCATATGTAAGTTGTGTGTTTTTAGTTTGTTTCTTTGCTGTGCTGGAGATCAGTATACATTCGAGGCAATGGCTCTGCATAGCTGCATCTCCCACACTCATTGAATGCTTCATAAAGTGTTTTCCAAATTGAAAGCATTCAAAGATAGTGATTTAAAAATAGCCTCCATAGGCCAGGCGGTCGTGGCGCATACCTTTAATCCCAGCACTCATGAGGCAGAGGCAGGTGGATCTCTGTAAGTTCGAGGCCAATCTGGTCTACAAGATCTAGTTCCAGGACAGACTCCAAAGCTACAGAGAAACCCTGTCTCAGAAAAAGCCTCCAATTTTATGTGTCTTTCATACCATCATGGAAAACAGTATTACTGTTACTGGTGTCATTAGACTGGTCGTTGCTTGAAGTAAGATTTAACTTTTTTTTCTCATGTACCATATTTGTTACGCTTTCTTTTGGGGGGAGAGAGTGTGGACTCTGCCTAGCCTGGAACTCACAGAGATCTGTTTACCTACTCTGCATCATGAGTGCTGAGATTTGAGGTATGGACCACCTTGCCCTGCTCCATATGTGTCTAAGAGTATTTGAACCAGAACCAGAACCAGACATGATAGTGCACACTTCTCCAGCACTCAGGAAGCTGAGGGATGAAATTAACCCTTCCCCTCCCCTGAAAAAAGCGTTCCAATAAATTAAATGTCTAACCCGATTACAGGATTTAAAGTATGTCAGAATTCCAAGGGTTTGCTTTCAAAAGTGATGATAGAAAAAGACTTGAATTACTCTTGTTTGTTTTTTCTGAGACAGACTGTGTCACTCAGGCTGACCTGCCTTGGGCTTTTGGGTGCCAGGCTTGGGCACCACTGCTTCTGGCTCATTTTTAGCCCTAATTTTTAGAGTGTACTTTATAGTAGTACTCAGCTATGTGAGCATGGCGGATGCTGTGTGACAACACAGCACAGTGCTGTTGGCTGCTTGTTTCTGTCCAAGAACGAGTTTTGGATGTCCCCTTATCAGCATCGCCCTGGAGTGAGTTAATACAGGTGATAGTTCACAGAGGGAGGATGTGGGCAGTGACGTGTACACCTGAGCTCCATAGGGAAAGGTCTGTTCTACCTCTGCCCACTGCGAGGTTCCTGAAAGAACACAATGGTAGATACTTAACAGGAGAAATAATGTTGGATTTATTGTTTGCTGATGTTCTAGATGACAGAGTGCTTATTACCTCCATAAAATCAGAAATACTTGAGTTTGAATTTGTAATTTTTACCAAAATAACTTATTGCCATATTAAATCAAAAGTTAACTAAATATGTTTGCCTAATTTTCTTCCCCCAATAGCTTTGAGGACTATGTAGGGATTTATACTATCGAATTGTTTTACATTGTCTGTTGGTCTTTGTCCAATTTTCAACACTTGTCAGCTGGGAGCCCATGACTGATGGGGTGACTGGACAGTTTAAAGTATCTCAGGGGCAGTTGAAACTTAGGATGAAAGGAGAATGAACCTTCGTTCTTTATTTCAGTTTTCCCTGTGTGTGATGAGTATATGGTAATATCTGCACCCTGTGCAGAGGTACAGCAGCACACAAGTATATATGAATATTCCACGCCTGTCCTTCAAATTATTTATGCCAGGGATTTCATAATGAGTTTTCAAATATTTAGAACATATAGCAAATTAAAGTGATTTGTTACTAATCAAAATAAGATTGAATTCCTAACTAAAGAATTTTTAGAAGTTTTAACCTCAAAGATTTTGGGGTTTTTTCTTTTTATAATTTATCTTAAACAGATTTATTATGATTTATTATTATAAATTAAAGATTTATTGTTTATTATGTAGTCTTCTGCCTGCATGTGTGGCTGCAGGCCAGAAGAGGGCATCAGATATCATTGCTGATGGTTGTGAGCCTTCATGTGGTTGCTGGGAATTGAACTCAGGCCCTGTGGAAGAGCAGCCAGTGCATGCTGATCCCAGTGCTTTGGAGGGAGAGATAGGCAGATCTCTGTGAGTTTAAGGCCAGCCTGGTCTACAGAGCGAGCTCCAGGACAGATCCCAGATCCCAAAGTTACACAGAGAAGCCACGGGGCGGGGGGGGGGGGGGGAAAGAAAGAAAACAAAATTGTAAGCTCTGCCTCAGATTACCTAACTTTAATCAGCCAGTTTACCTGTGTGTAACTTACGGTAGGGTAGCATTACATATTGCAGGAGTATGAAGATGAAAACGGCTTGTTACGACGCTCCCACTTCATTGTCCAGGTATTGTAGTATGCTGAGCAAGCCTTGGGCAGGAAGAGAGCCGGCTCTAGGAAACTGACTGACGGGAAGGCTGAGAAAACGTGTCTTTCTGTACTCCACCATGGCTCTTTGCAGCCTGCACTGGATTAGTTACTCCCTGGCTTGCCTGTTCTTTGTTTTCTAGACCTCCTCCAGGGATTCACTAACTCTTCACTCCTTCAAGCCCCAGCTCCTTCAGGGTCTAATTGGGACTTTGAACTCTTCCTTAAAACCTATGAGTGACTCAGGAGACCCTCCTCCTCCTGAGAACATTTGAGAAAGCCACGGCTGTGACAGCACTTAGCTGTGTGCTGCTGCGGCATGCATGCCCCATCACTCCATGATCGTGGGGTCTGCAGATGGAAAGGGGGGGTACTTCTGTTTCTTTTCACTGACGGAATTAAGAGGGATTTAACTTCGAAAGGAACAAGGAAGGAAATCTGTAGCTTTTGTACAGCAGAAGGTAACAGGAAAAAAAACAGTTGCAACACATGGAGAGGTTAATGCTCTTAATATATGGATTCATTTTGGATAAGGCAAACACTAATCAGCAAAACACCACAGGGCCTGGCGTGGATCAGTGACAGAGTCCTGGGTTAATCTCTAGCACCCCAAATAATTAAAAAGTGAAAAATTACTAATGAATGTGGAAAGACCTTGGGTGATTAAAGAAAAATCTAAAAACTTCAGATGCTAATCATTGCCTTTGATCCATGACACCTGGAATGGAGTAAACAGATTATCCTATTTGAATGTAAGTCTTACAGGTTTGGGGGTATTGGGTTTTGTGTTTTGTTGTTTTTCCTGTTTTAGAAATACTAGAAAGTGGGAAACAAAAGCAGTGGGCAGCACTGGTTTAGCTTGCTTTCTTCAGTGCATGAGAGAGCAAACTTGAACGGCCATGAGTTGAATCTTAGAATTTAACTCCCACAGTCCTTTCACGTCACAGGAAATGGATACTAATCCTAACATGGGTTACCACAAGGCTCCAGGAAACTCTGTCCAATGTGAAATGGCTCCTTTTCCCGAGCTACCTGTAACAAGCCAATCCGCATTCCTGGCTCTCCCGTGGGATTCACAAACCATGCCAATCCTTCTTTCTCCATTCTCTTTCCGTCTTTACTCATCTTCCAAACCAGCTCACCTGTCTGCAGATCCTGAGAGCTTTACCTTCAGAACTTCTTAGCGCTCAGCCATTGGCTCCTCTAGCCCTGCCGAGTCCATTGGACCTGCAGTCCTCCTCCCTTCTCCACAATCTGCCAGTCACAGCCAGTCCATGCTCTGACTTCAGACATTAAGATTGTATCCATTCCAAGGACTTTTGTACTTGGTATTTCCTCCTCTTGGAAGGGTCTCCTCCAGTTAAATGCACTTGACCTCTCTGGTTCCTCTCAAACATCACTTTTAAGGACATCTTCCCTGAACACTGTCTACACTGGCAACTCCTCACTACCCAGCTCCCCCTGCTTTGTCTTTCTCCACCATGTATACTGCCAGTGTCTGTCCATCTCTCCATGGACATTGCTGTGACTCAACCATCCCCTTAGACTAGAACCCATCTGCGGACAGTGACTTAAAACGGAATTTGGATTGTGTGAACAAGCTTGGCTCCGAGTACATGGTTTTTATGTTCTGCATTTGTGGGTAGACACATTATTTCCAGAACTCTATTACTTGTAGCTCCTTTCTCTCCAGTGCTGTCCCAGTGGCAATATCTCACAAAGCTATGTCATTGCCCTTAGCAAATCAGTATAGTAAAACTACCTGGATCTTGACATTTGGCTTATATAAATGAAAATAATGCCAGTGACTACCACAAGGTGACTTATACAGCCCTTAGGAAAAATTCAACTGCCCTGTACTAAGTGTGAGCTCACAAATTCAGATCCCCAAAGAGAAACCACAATAGAATGGTCCTAGCCGCTTACCCAGCTCTCTCACTACCGTTTCCGCCTACCTCCCAATAGGCACAAAGCACGGTGTGCTAGGTATTGACGGAGATGGGAAGTGTTGGCAGTCACGGTGGCCAGTGTCTGTCTGTAGTTACATCTCATGGGAAGCTGATGATTTAAGCCAACTGAGCCCCCAGTCAGCCTGGGCAACAATAGACCTAATCTCAAGAGTCCTGCATATCCTAGTTTTTCCTCTCTGATCGATTCTTGTCAAAGAACCGGGCAGTGGTGGCGCACGCCTTTAGTCCCAGCATTTGGGAGGCAGAGGCAGGTGGATATCTGAGTTAGAGGCCAGCCTGGTTTACAGAGGAAATCCAGGTCAGGCTCCAAAGCTACAGAAAAACCCTGTCTCAAAAAAACAAAAATAAAGGCGGGGAGGGAGTTGTACTTTTCCTGTAAAATCAGGGAGGGGGGAATGGACAGGCAATAAAGTCATGAATGGATGGAAAGAAGAATGAGAGAGTAAATGGAGAGTAAAATAAGTTTTAAGTAAGCTATGAAGTTACAGGTAAACTTGATCCCAGATGCCTTAGAGAAGCTTTCAGAGAACCCCACAATGCTGTTTTGTGTCTTTTGTTTGCTTTGGTTTTTCTGCTTTTTGTTTGTTACTTGTTTTGTTGCTTGCTTGTCCACAAACAGCAATTGGGCCTCAGCCAACCAAGTGCTAGGATTACAGTTGAAACATACGTATGCTGTGATAGCATTAAACAGGGGTGTTCCAAAATAAAACCATGCAGCTCAAGTAAATATTAACGTGTGGACAGGGGTGGGGGTACAGAAGTCTATACCTTTAATAATCCAAGTCATTTATAATGGAAAGAAAGAATATATACTTTGAGGTGTGTCTGTTCCTTTTTGTGTGTATGGGCCTAGAATTTAAGGATTCAAGTCATACAATTGCAATCTTTTGAATTGTACAATGATGAACATCACCACCACCAGCCCCAGCAAAAGACCTAGTCTCACCATCTCTTAGCCTCCCCAGTGCTGGGATTAAAGGCCTGCGCCGCCACCACCACCGGACTCAGGCTCTTTGCACTGGATATATTTGACCAGGTGATGTATAAGATCAAAGCCCCTGGTCTTACTAAAAACTGAAGTATTCTTTGTCAAAATTAACCCACAGTACACTACTGTACATTGGAGTTTAAAAAGAGAAAAACCCCAGCACTCTGGAGGCAGAAGCAGGCCAGACCTCTGAGATCAAGGCCAGCCTAGGCTACAGCCAGCCAGTGCTATGAAATGACTCTCAAAGCAAAGATTAATTATCACCTAGCCCAGGGCTTGTGTGTGGACCGTTTATATTCACATAACAGTTACTGTGACCAGGAAATGGATTCCATCGTTGATCTTCCCAACCACCTTAGCTGCATTTGGAAGATGGGTTCCATTTCCTCAGTATCCACCCACACCCCCACACCCCCGAGACTTAAAACCCAGAGGCATTCATTGTAAACCAAGTTCTGGAAAGGGATGGGATGGGCAGCCAAAATCCGCCGCTAAGGCGGGGAAGAAATTGCTCATATAGAGCAAGGGCAACAGTGGGGCTTCAGAGGGCTGGCGCGCATAGCAGCCAAGTCCTGTGCCAGAGCCTTCCCTCTGGCGCTCTCCAGCTCCAGCCCCTTTCTCAGGTCTCTCCGCCTCACTCCACCCCCTGAAGGCGGTTGGTACGTTCTGGATGACTCCAAGAGCTTAAAAAGGGCCCGGGAGGGCGGATTCCGCAGCTTTGGTCTTGGCCGGTGCGGTGCACTAGGCTGGTCTCCGGTGACTCCTAGACCTGAGTCTCAACACCCTTGCAAGAGCCTTTAGTGCGGTGGGTCCCGAGGGTCCCGGGTCCTGGGTGTGTCGGGTGTCCAGCCTGCAGCCGGGGTCCTCCGCAGCCGGCCTGGAGGTAGGTGCCGCAGCCCTACGGGATGGAAGGGACGAAGCTGCTGAAACCGCGGACCCTGGCCGACCTCATCCGCATCCTGCATGAGCTCTTCGCGGGCGACGAGGTCAACGTAGAGGAGGTGCAGGCTGTGCTGGAGGCCTACGAGAGCAATCCCGCCGAGTGGGCTTTGTACGCCAAATTCGACCAG